TAAATTTTTTTTATCTCCGTTCATTTTTAATTGTCATAGTTTCCTTTTTAAAAGTCTAACAATAAAAATTTTAACTAACATTTTACGATGCACTTTTAATCTAATTGATACAAAAATTTGCAATTTATAGTACTTTTTGTATAATTTTTTAATATTTATTTTTTTAAATATCAATTTAATATAATCTAATTTAACTTTAAAAATTAGTCAAATTAACTTTCGAAAATATAATAACTAAAAATAGACAAAGGAAATATATTTGCTTCCACAACTTAAAGAAAAGCCCCATAACACTATGTAAAAAATGAATTTTTGTGGCAATTAATTAGCAATTTCTAAATATATATTTTTAACGGCAATTCAAATTTTTTGTATATGTGTCTAAAGACTTTAGCGATATTAGATTTAATGACACTCAAATAATTTTAATAAAGACTTTAATACTCTTTATTAATATGTCTATTTATTAGAGTTAAAAATTACTTTTGTAATAGCATAAATCAAAAGAGAAAACATAATCAAATGAATAATTAGTCAATAGGAAAAAAAAATCATAAGAATGGCATCTATCATCTATGTATTATGAATAAATATGTATTATAAATAATGCAATAATTAAGTACCTAATGATGTGCACCATAAACCAGATAAAGAATCAAGATACTTCTTCCCATTTATGTCATAGACATAAGAACCCTATAACAAAAATTACACAAATGTTAAAACACATAAAAGAATTCACAAGTAAATAAATTGTATATATCATCATTACGTATTAAAAAAAAAATCTTATATGTTATGATATATAATTTATTTTATTTTCAAAATCACAAATAACTAATAATATGTTGGGATTTAAATAAGCAAAGAAATAAATCAGATGATAAAAAATAATTATACTAAAAGATATATTATTTGGTCAAAGTGACCTATATATCAAGAAAATCAATGTATGACTACATAATAAATATTACTGTATTTTTGTGTGAGAAAACATCTTCAATTTATAAAATTCCAACCTTTTTTCCCGAAAATAAACAACCAAATATGAATGAGTTTCATTTTTTTTCTTTCAAAAAATTAAAAATAATTACGATAACACTTGTATTTTTCTGGAACAATTAGAAAATCAAAGCAAAATCTAACACAATGTACACAATTTTTTTTAAAAAAAATTACAAATATAACTTTTATAAAAATATTATACTAACAACGTATATAACTTAAATCTCGAACCTCTGCCTTTTCTATGACTAAAGGTCCCATATCAATTTGCCATCCCGCAGTAAAGGGTGCCAACATATTATGTCCCATAAATCTGCAAATTAAATGTGAACATATTTTCATTACTTTGTCATAACAACTTTTCGTACTAAAAAATAATTGAACTTTATCCAGTATGACGATAATATTACAAATTGTTATCATAATAAATTAGAAAACTATTTATTTTCCTCATATTAGAATGAATGATGTACTTTACCCATTAACCTCTCCCATTACTTCAAAAAATTTTGAAAATTAAGTATAATAAGCCAAATTTTGGAGAAAAATGCTAAGAAGGATGAAGAATGAAGAAAGAAAAGAGATAAAGAGATAGGTAGAGGTAAAAGTATATATAAAGAAAAAATTGTGAGTGACTATTGATTAGTTTAACTTAAATTTAATATTGATAGAATATAATATTATTTTTGTCTGTTTAATTATAGTAATAAGTAGGAATGGTTACTCAACTTGATAAATGTCAAAATTGTATTTACGATGCACTACTTGTGTTTTAAAAAACTACTAAATGTCCTAGTTTATTTTTATTCCACTAATTTAATATTTTATCAGATCATTACATTTTGAATTTTGTAGCAAATGCACAATACAAACAAAATTAATATACATACTATATATACAATTTTTTGGTGTCTTACACTAAACAATTATTAAAAAAGGGATGATAAGCTTTAGACCATCTCCAACTCAATAACAATTTTTAAGTCTAAAACTTTTACATTATTTTAGTGTGTGTCATATCCTATTCATCAATATCAAGTCACTTTCTTAGTAGTGCTTAATTATTTATATTATATATAAAAAAACTTTTAATTGAACATATATAAATTATAAGTTTTTAATTAAGTCTCTGACACACCTAATCATTTTTATATAATATCTTAATAAATATAAATTTTAAATCTTAAATTTGAGGTATATTTTTTTATAACTTAATTTTTTATATATATTATTTTGGAATAAGACATAAGTATCTTCTTAGTCTATAACTAAATTTTCAAAAACACATATAGACCTAACTAGGATCCTATTATCATAGTCTTTTACTCAAAAAAAAAAGTGATGTAAAATGGAATTATGATAGAATTCCCTCCGTTTAAATAATGTAAAAATTTAGAAAAGAAACTCTAATAAATTAGTTATACTTTGGTGCAAACAAAAAATTCAAATAAAATAATAGCTCTATTTAAATTTAAATGTATGAATTCGTAAAGCTTAAATGTCCTGAATTATTATTCCCTGATTTTGTATTTATAAAATTTTGAATTAACCCAATAAATCACATCTTAATTTTAAAATTTTAGCAAAAATTTAAACGCCATAAATTATTCACTATTTTGAACTTTATAAAAATCTGAAAAATCACAAAATTTCTTAAAAGAATTATTTCATATTTTAGTTGAGGGTATTTTATTTTTATAAAATACTTTTAACCTATGGAGTATCAAATTCAAATTCAATACATATAATTAAAAATAAATAAACACTTATTATTCTACGTAACTAATAATAGATAATACTATGAGAATCAAATAAAACCCTAATAAGCCCCCCACCCCAGCCCCCCACCCTTATTTTCTTTAATTAATCATGCATGTGATTAGTTTTAAGACAGCAAGCCATGTCTTGAGCCGCATGCACATGATCGAGGACGATAAGTCCCAAAAATCTAATCATATTTTTTATTTGGTTCAAACAAGTTTCAAAATTTTTATTTAAATATCTTAATTTGGTCTTATCCTATTAAACACTTATATATATTCAAAAATAATTTTAGTTAGACATAAAAATCTGATATGACAAAAAACGTGTATATCACCCTCCTTAAGTGAGTAGAACAATAAGAAATAATATTTTTTTCCTCCATTATTTCGGATGAAAATAATATTCCAACAAAGTTATTGACTATTTCTTTTTTGACAAAAGTTCGTTATTTCTTTCCATGTAATTGTCATAAATAATTATTAGAGAAAAGATGATGAATACAACAAGTGAAAGGTTTAATGTTATTAGAATGAAAAGTAATTGAAAGATAAACTTAGATGAATAACAATAGTGTATTATTAATGTCGGTAAAAGAATAAAATTTAACAAAAGATTATTGTTTTTTTATGCGATTGCGATAAATGATTATTAGAGAAAAAAAATGAATACAACGAGTGAAAGGTTTGAGCCATTAGAATGAAAGGTAAACTTAGATGAATAGCAAAAATATATATCGTGAAAAGAATAAGATTCGATATAGAAAAAGAAATGAGTGGACACAATGTTTTAGTAGAGATTGAGGTGATTGGAAATAAATTTACAAATATATTTACACTTAAAAAAATAATTATAAAAAAAATTATAAATTTTTATCGTAGTTTTATAAAACAGCCCCTTGTTATGTCATGTGAATTTCATTTTTGATTTATAGCTATTTTTGACTTTGGATAATTTTTTTATCGATGGAAATGTGTATCTTGAGGGAATAATGATGATACATCACTTCATTAAATTTGATAGCATCAAGATATCCTTGTTTATATTAATTGTTCATGCTATTTAAAATAGTTAGTTTTAAATTATTTTATCTATTTTATTTTATTTGAGATTCGATAGAACAGTAGACTTTTTATTTTCTTTGTTCAAACCAATTTTAGCAAATGAGAAAATACGTATTATAACTTTTCTATATTATTCTGAAGAATAATATTAAATATTTACATAAACTAATTGCAGGCAAATTTATAATTTTGAAGCATTATTAATAATGTTAGTTCAATTATTTACACTCTAGTTAAAATTTTCTCAAGGAGCTATCAGGTCAGCACAGACAAAATAATATGAAATAGACAGAGTACTTGTTAAGGTACAAAATCAAAACAAAACTAATTATTTTTTTTTAAAAAAAAGTGTAAATAAGTTGTAAGGTTTCAAAAATGAAATAATAAATAAATAAAGAACAAATTAATACTACAAACAATTATCCATGATTTCTAAATGACGTGAAAAAAATGAACAATCTATATTATAAGGAGAATAATGGAGTAATTAATTTATGTGCATCGATTTCAATACCATTTATTATTATTATTATCATCATCATCATCATCATTATTATTATTATTATTATTATTTCTTCGAAAGTCAAGCAGTTTAAGTTTGATCTGAAATTTGCTACAAATTTTTTAATTTCTTTTATAATTATATATTTGTAAATTATATAAAAGTTAATATAAGTTACAAAATTAAAAATTCAAAATATATTTTAAAATTTACAATTAAAAATAGATTTGATTGAATCTCAATACAAAATTGTTAAAAGTAGTTGTCCATTAGTTAGTTGGTTACATAACTAACTATTCAAAAGTTAGTTAGCAGTTAAAGTTTGTTAGTAGTTAGTTAGGCCCATTATTGTAATTTCACTTTATAGTTTGTTACCTCGTTTAATGTGCTGATTAGTTAGTTAGTTAGTGATATTTTTTGCTGCTTTGTAACAGCCTCTGATTGCTATATAAGCAATGCAGAGCATCACTCGTTTGGCATGATAAAATCAATACAACATTTCTCTCTTTTCTCTTCTTCATTTGCAGCTTCCTCAAGCTTCTTCAATGGAGTGAAGAACTTGGAAGCTTACTGTTTTTGTTCATGGTATCAGAGCAGTGTGATCTGTAGAATTAGTGAAGTTTAAATCTCTATCCATCGTGAGAATCTGTAGCTTGAGATCTGCAGACATGGTGGAAATGAAGATAGATCAGAATGATCCATTATACATTGGAAATTCTGATAGTTCAAGTATTGTAGATCAGAATGATCCATTATACATTGGAAATTCTGATAGTTCAAGTATTGTGTTGATTCCAATCAAACTAATTGGATCTGAAAATTATGGAGTTTGGAGTAGGGCAATGAGGATTGCATTAATAGGGAAGAGGAAGTATGGTTTTGTAACTGGTGCCTGCACTAGAGCTTTGTACAAAGATGAACTGCATGAGCAATGGGAAACTTGCAATGCAATTGTGTTGTCTTGGCTGATGAACACAGTCAGTAAAGAGCTCCTTAGTGGTATTGTATATGCCACAAATTCTTTCTCAGTGTGGAATGATCTAAAGGAAAGATTTGACAAGGTGAATAGAGTAAGGATCTATCAATTACATAGAGATATCACCACTCTTTCACAAGGAACAGATACTGTTTCTCATTACTTCTCAAAGTTAAAAACATTATGGAATGAGTATGATGCTATAGTTCCAAATCCGTGTAGTACTTGTTCTCAATCGAAGGAGTACAATGATCATTTGGAGCAGATGAGATTGATTCAATTCTTAAGTGGCCTGAATGAGTCATGTGATCAGGCTAGGAGACAGATACTACTTAAAGGAACTACACCATCTATGAATCAAGCTTATGCTATGATTATAGAGGATGAGATTCAACACTCAAGTTATATGGATAATGTAGTTGAAAAACCAAGTTCAATGGTGATGAGTGTTAACAGGAATCAAGGAGTAGGAAAGGAACACTACAAAGGAAAGAAATGTGATTATTGTCATTTTCTGGTCACACAAAGGATAATTGCTACAAGCTGATTGGCTATCCAAGTGACTCGAAACAAAGGAAGAAACCAGGTTATGGAAATGGGAATGGAAACATGAGAAATGGTACAGGCACAAGTCAATTCAATGGAGGACAAAGTTCAGGAAATAATGGTGGATATGGAAGAGGATATCAGCAAATAATATCTCTAATGATAACTGTGATCATTCTAATACTGTATCAACTAATCAGGTGGAAAATAACAACTTGTTAAAGGTGCCAAAGGGACAAACATTCACTGAGAAGGAGTACAAACAAATAATGGAGATGCTAAATAGAGATGTACAAGAAACAAAACAAGTCAATATGGAAGGTATTACAACTTGCTTAATGACAAATCCTATTATTCAAGATTGGATTGTTGATTCAGGTGCAACTCATCATATCATTGCAAATAAACAGTTACTGACTAGAAGACATGAATTAACAAAGTCACAAATGAATCAAGTTCATCTTCCAACAGGTGACAAGGTTACAGTCAGGCATATTGGTGAAACACCTATATTTGATAGTGAAGTGGTCAGAAGTGTCTTGCATGTGTCAGATTTCAAGTTCAGTTTATTATCAGTATCAAAGATTACAAGAGAACTAAATTGTTTTGTATTCTTTTATCCTGACTTTTGTGTGTTTCAGGACCTCTGCAGTGGCAGGGTGAAGGGGATTGGTAGAGAAGAAGGAGGATTGTACAGTTTTAAGGCTAACTTTTCATCTAAACAGAAGGAAGAAATAAGGTGTGCACAAGAAACAGTAGCTGCAGGAGCTGCAATACAAGACACAGATATATGGCACAGAAGGTTAGGACATCCATCTCAACAAGTATTGAGATATCTCAAGATAGATACAAGCAGTAAAGGTGATGGAGTTTCAACTCATTGTCCTGTTTGTCCTTTAGCCAAGCAAACTAGACTTACTTTCCCTATTAGTACTATTAGAGCATCCATAATGTTTGATGTTGTTCATATGGATCTATGGGGACCTTATAAGATCCCTACTCTAGATAGAAAGTACTACTTCTTAACAATAGTAGATGACTATAGTAGATTTGTATGGGTTCATTTGTTGCAGTTAAAATCTGAAACCATTGTGGCTATCAAAAATTTCTTCTCAATGATCAATACTCAGTTCAATTCTCATGTCAAAATTGTGAGATCAGATGGCACAGAATTCCTTAATTCACAATGTAGAGAGTTATTCAATCATCTGGGAATATTACATCAGAGTAGTTGTCCTCACACACCACAACAAAATGGTGTGGTTTAAAGAAAACACAGACACATTCTTAATATTGCAAGAGCAATCAGATTTCAAGCTCATCTACCTATCAGATTTTGGGGTTACTGCATTAAGGCTGCTGTGTATTTGATGAATAGATTACCTTCATCAACCAACTCCAACAAAAGTGCCTATGAGTTACTTCATTGTAAACAACCTGGTTTGTCTCATCTAAGGGTTATAGGTTGTCTTTGTTATGCTACAACAATGCCCAAAGGGGATAAATTTTCAGCAAGAGCTAGTGCAACTATTCTCTTAGGGTATTCAAAATTACAGAAAGGCTACATATTGTTGGATATCCATTCTACTAAGGTGTATGTGAATAGAGATGTGATATTTCATGAAGAAGTATTTCCATTTGCTAAAGTGATGCCTCAACTTGATCCCTTAGTTGTTGTACATGGTTCTCCTTTAGAGAACACAGAAAGTCAAGATGTTGAAGCTGAGAATGATAATGAAGATAATAGGCAACTTGCAGACACTGGTACAGTTAATGAAGACAGTCAGAATGATGAGATTGAGAATACTTCAGTAGATCAGATGTCTATACCTAGTCTAACAGAGGAAGTTACTGAAAATACTCATGCAGTACCATCCCATGTTGAGTCCAATATTAGAAGATCTTCAAGAAGCATCAAGGAGCCAATGTGGATGAAAGATTATACCATTACTAAAAGACATAGTAGCACCAAACATCCTATGGCTAGTTATCTGAATTATGAAAAGTTAAAGCCTGAGTGCAGAAGTTTTTTGAGTAAACTTTCAGAGTATGTAGAACCTAAGAATTTCAGTCAAGCTTCATAAGATAAAAGGTGGATACAAGCTATGAAGCAGGAAATCAAAGCTCTTGAAGAAAATAATACATGGAAAATAGTTGAGCTACCAAAAGGCATGCATGCAGTTGGTTCCAAGTGGATATATAAAGTAAAATATAAGGCAAATGGTGAGATAGAAAGGTTCAAAGCAAGACTTGTAGCAAAAAGATACAGTCAACAAGAAGGACTGGATTATCATGACACTTTTTCTCCAGTAGCCAAAATGGTAACAGTCATATGTGTCATTGCATTAGCAGTATCAAAAGGCTGGACATTGTACCAGATAGATATCTATAATGCCTTCTTACAGGGTGATTTAGATGAAGAATTCTATATGAAAATGCCCGAAGGCTTTGCAAAAACAGGTGAAAACAAAGTCTGCAAGTTGTTGAAGTCTTTATATGGACTTAAACAAGCCTCAAGACAGTGGAACCTGAAACTTACAAAAGTATTACAAGCCACAGGTTTTAGTCAGAGTGCTCATGACTACTCACTATTCACACTAAAAAAGGGGGGAGATCTTGTAATTGTTCTGGTTTATGTAGATGATCTATTGATCACAGGAAGTAACACACAACTAATTACTGAGGTTAAAGCATGTTTGCACAAACAGTTCAAACTGAAGAATCTAGGTGAACTTAAATTCTTCTTAGGCATTGAAGTGTTAAGGTCCTCTGAAGGAATTATTTTGAATCAAAGGAAATATATATTGGAACTTATTGCTGAGGCTGGATTAACAGGTGCAAAACCTGCATCCACACCAATGGAGTCCAATTTGAGATTGACATCAGTAGATCATGATCAAGCAAATGGCTATAGTGCAGATACTGTACTGCATGACATTACTTCATACCAAAGATTGGTTGGTAAATTGTTATATGCTACTATCACCAGGCCAGATATAAGTTATGCAGTACAAACCTTGAGTCAGTTCATGCAATCTTCCAAGAAGTCACATATGGAAGCAGCTACTAGAGTGATTAGATATTTGAAAGGTTCAGTTGGCCAAGGTATTTGGTTACATTCTGAACCTACTAACACAATTACTTGTTGGTGTGATTCTGACTGGGCAGCATGTCCTAACACTAGAAGATCCATCACAGGATATGTTATTAAGTTTGGAGAATCCTTAGTTTCTTGGAAATCAAAGAAACAACAAACTGTTTCAAGAAGTTCAGCTGAAGCTGAGTACAGAAGTATCGCATCAGTAGTTTCAGAAATCACTTGGCTTTTAGGATTGTTCAAGGAATTGGGAGTGGACGTTCAGCTACCTATTACCATTCTTAGTGACAGTAAATCAGCTATACAACTAGCACCTAATCCAGTGTTACATGAGAGGACAAAGCACATTGAGATAGATTGCCATTTTATCCGGGATAGGATCAAAGCAGGAGAAGTTGACACTGCTTATGTACACACACAACAACAGATCGCAGACATATTGACAAAAGGGCTAAGTCAAGTTCAGCATGTGCATCTTCTAGGCAAGCTTGGAGTGATCAATGTTATGCACTCATCAGCTTGAGGGGGTGTGTTAAAAGTAGTTGTCCATTAGTCAGTTGGTTACATAACTAACTATTCAAAAGTTAGTTAGCAGTTAAAGTTTGTTAGTAGTTAGTTAGGCCCATTATTGTAATTTCACTTTATAGTTTGTTACCTCGTTTAATGTGCTGATTAGTTAGTTAGTTAGTGATACTTTTTGCTGCTTTGTAACAGCCTCTGATTGCTATATAAGCAATGCAGAGCATCACTCGTTTGGCATGATAAAATCAATACAACATTTCTCTCTTTTCTCTTCTTCATTTGCAGCTTCCTCACGCTTCTTCAATGGAGTGAAGAACTTGGAAGCTTACTGTTTTTGTTCATGACCACGCTCAACCTTCTAATTATTTATATTTAAACTAGCGAGTAGTATTTTTAAACTGAATTTGGGGAAGCCAAATCTAGTTTGAGACATTATAGAATAGAGCCCTTCGTTTTTTATTCTTCGTTTTCAAATCTATATAAAATGATGTACAATAATGTGTTACTTTTTTTTTTATGTATATTTAAAATTATTTTTTAAAATTATAAATAGTATATATCTCTGAGTCCGAAACTCAAAGGGAACAAAATATTAACAAAAATTCTAAAACGGTATATAAAATTTTATATTAACCAAAACGGTAAAATCGCTGCAGGTGCAGCGACTTATTTCACTTGAAAAGTAAAATCGCTGCCAAGCAGCGATTTCAAAATTTTTTCTTCTTACAAATCGCTGCCTTGGCAGCGATTTCATATTATTTTTTAATTTTATTTTTAAAAAATAAGGTATATCGCTGCCAGTGCAGCGATTTATAAAGATTTTTTTTTAAATCGCTGCCAGTGCAGCGATTTATTAAAAAAATAAAAAAATTCTAATATAAATCGCTGCCAGTGCAGCAATTTATAAAAAAAAATTTATGTAAATTGCTGCCAGTGCAGCGATTTATTTTTTTAATTTTTTTTATTAAATCGCTGCAATAAGCAATTTTTTAAATAAAATTTTTT